CATCTCTTTCCCTTCTCTCCTCCCTCCTGCCTCCTCCCCTCTTCCTCCCCATCCCTTCCTCCCTCCCTCCTCCTCCCCTCCCTCCTCGCCTCCCTCCTCTCCTCTACTCCTCTCTCTCCTTCCCGTAGGTGGCACAGGGAGAGATGTTAGTACCTGATTCTTCCTGTAGGTGGTGCCAGGGGAGATGTTAGTACCTGATACTTCCTATAGGTGGTGCCAGGGGAGACGTTAGTACCTGATTCTTCCCGTAGGTGGCACAGGGAGAGATGTTAGTACCTGATTCTTCCTGTAGGTGTCCTGTGAGTGTCGCAGCATGCGGTAGCAGAGGCGACAGATATGGCGGAAGGCGGAGTAGCGTGGGTCACTGAGCTCCTCCATCTTAAGTATCGGTCCGTCTCCCTTGTCCAGGAACGGTGCCTTTAGTATCTTAAATATCTGAGGAGAGACAGCAAGAGTGAGAGATGAGGTGAGAGAGGGAGCGAGAGAAAGGGGGAGAGAGACAGGAGGTAAGAGAGAGAGCAAGAGAGAGTGAGAGGAGGTAAGAGAGAGAGCAAGAGAGAGTGAAAGAGAGAGAGAGTAAAAGTAACTAAATAAAGAACAATTCAAACAATAAAATGTAGAAAAAAAACACCAATGGAATACGAACTCAACGACCGTCACACAATCCAAACTCATCTCCCGGATTTTCACTCCCGATAAAAAAATCCCCCCCGAAAATATTCAACTGTCCGGGGATTCGGCGCCGCGCGCTTGTTTCACTGCTCACTTGTTTCAGCACATCCTGCTCGCGCATCAGCTTCTGTCGCTCGCGGTCAGGGTTCGTCATGCGGATCTCGAGCGGGTCGTCGAACTGATGTTTGTCCGACGTCGTCACGAAGTACAGAAGGTCGTTCAGCAGGTGTATGACCGCCCTGCAAGGTCAAGGTCATGGTCAAGGTCGCGCATTGCAAGGTCGTGGCATTCAAGGTCGCATGTCGAAGAGTTTAAGGTCTTGTGCGCATGGTTCAAGGTCGTGTGTCACAAGGTTCAAGGGCTTGTGCGCATGGTTCAAGGTCGACGTCAGCACGTCAAAGGTCGTGTGTCGCGGGTTAAAGTCAAGATCAATGTCAAGATACAAAAGTTGTAAGATGGACGCGTAGAATGCAAAAAGACTCTGGTACGAAAGTCAAGGAGTTAAGGACAAGAATCACGGCAGACCACACGGGAAAACCTCAGAGAATTCAAGTGCAATGTTGAGATACCGAAAGCAGGCATCAACTCTTCGGGGATGATGTAAAAAATTTCTCAGAAAATCTCAAAACATTCGCGGAACAATGCCGATAATCCCGACACAATGAAGAAACTCGCTAGCGCCACTCTTGCCCACGTCACATTGACCACGCGTTCGTCTGCCGCCGCGGCGATGGCGGCGATAGTGGCGCCCTCACTTCTTCTCGTTCTGCGTGATGGATCCCTTCTCTAGTTGACTGCCGATGGTGCTGAGGACCTTGGACGCGTCGTTCGCAAAGTCAAGGTCACGAACCTCCTGCGGTGACACCGGGACGATAGAGAAAGCCTCCCTGTCCTCCCTGAGGAGCGCGCAGCCCAGCTGTAGAGAGAGAAGAATGTAAGAGAGGAAGGAGAGAGAAGGGGAAGGGAAAGGAGAGGAGGAGATACCCAAGCAGACGTGAGGAGAGGTGCAGGAATACCTGTCAAGGCGCAGCGCGGCAATATTTTTCAATATTGAACACATTCATATCTCAATTTAATCACTTCTCGCACTTTGCTAAACTGAATAAAAACCTTATTCATGAATCAAACCATCTGATTAAATCATAATACCGTCAAAAA